TTGTAGGCGCAGCAATGTCTCTGCTTTTTAATGTGCTGTCTAGGTTGGTCAGAGCTTTTCTTTCGAGGAGCAAGCATCTTTTAATTTCATGGCTGCAGTCACCATATGCAGTGGTTTTGGAGCCCAAGAAAATAAAATTTCTCACTGTTTCCATTGTTTCCCCATCTATGTGCCATGAAGTGATGGGGATACCATGATACCATGATCTTAGTTTTCTGAATGTTGAGTTTTAAGCCAACTTTTTCACTCTCTTTCACTTTCATCAAGATAAAGTCTTTAATCAAATTATTGGTTTGACTCAACTTGTTTGATTCAACTTGTGACTGTGGCTACTATTATTTTGCATTCTGGGGCTTTCAACTAGTCCATGAGGTCCTGTGATCAGTCTTCTCAACAAATTAGTATTTCATGGCTATATATTTACTATAACATACAAAATTTAAGTTGGAATTATATTTCTTTGATTCTAAAGGAGCACTGTTCTTCAGTGACAAAGGGAAAGTAAAACTACAACTTTGTTTGGAGATCTTTCACACATGAGAACACATTTACTTGGGGAATTTGTTTTATGTAAATAATGTAGTAACAGGTGCCTTTAAACCAGAGAGCCAAAAATAATTCTATGTACTAGTTAGGTAAAACAAAGACAAGATAAATTTTACTTTTTTTCCCCTCCAGAAATACTAGTATTATCTACAAAAGTTGAATGATGAAATGTACTTATGAAACAAAGCCATTTTCTGCCATTTGTCAATCATAATGAGTAATTTTAAAGTCTCATTTTCAATTAGATTATTTTAATATTTAACAATCTAAAATGCCCCAATCATATCCTTTAGAAAATGGTTAGGCTAGAATACTGCAGTTCTAATGATGAAATTTTATTATGATAAAAATGACTTCACTAATTGATGACCATATATCAACTCATAAAGTAGATAAGCGATATAAAAAGTTTTCAAGCCTAAGACAATATAAACCAATCTGAATTATTTAGAATTTCCTTTTAGGAATAAGCATTTATGGTCCTTTTATTCTTACAAAAATACATGTTTGTTTATTTTAAATTAATCTAAAAAATTAAGTGGCCTGTGAATTTCTTTTGTAAGGTCTGTATAAGTTGGCAATATATTGATGTTATCCCAAATTGTACCATTAACATATACTAAAAATAAAAAAAATATAATGCATTTGTAGCAGAGTGATACAAGAGATAGCAAGTATTATAGGGAAATTTGGATTTTTGTCCCAGATATTCTTATTTATGATTTTGGATCTATCTTAGAACATGTAAAATGTTTTTTAAAAATGCATTGATGACTTTCTAAGATATTTGAAATATGATCTTTTAAAGAAATCAGTCTTGTTTCTCCTTTATTTTCTGCATCCTTGAAAAGAACATTCACAATTTCATAATGAAAATGATATCAAAATGTCACTATACAGAGGATGAAAAACAGTACATTTAAGCATTACATGAGAGCTTTGTTTTAAGTTGAAAGTAACTGTGAAATATAAAACTTCATCTAAATACAGTGGTTGATTTCTGAAGAAAAATGTCTTTTGTTTTATAGAAGTTTTATTAATATATATCAATGTTTAGGCCTTAATGAATTTAGATTAATTATTTTTATAATTTAAAACTTATTTTACTGAATCTAGCTTAAATAATTAACTTGCATATTTTCACATTTACACGAAAAAATTTAATTGCATGAGAAACTTCTAAAAAGAATATAAACTGGAATATTGACTTACTTAAATATAGCCATAAACACTAAATCTAAATGTCTAATAGTATCAAATTAAAATGTTATAACTGAACAATTCTCTCCTATTAAGGGAAGAATACATCTTTCATTTATTCAGTTGGTTATTGAATTGGAAAGAACATTTCCTTATCTATTATTTCTCCAAGAGAAAAAGAAAGAAAGAAAGAAAGTGAAGTCACTCAGTCTTGTCCGACTCTTTGCGACCCCATGGACTGTAGCCAACCAGTCTCCTCCGTCCATGGAATTTTCCAGGCAAGAGTACTGGAGTGGGGTGCCATTTCCTTCTCCAGAGGATCTTCCTGACCCAGGGATCAAACCCGAGTCTCCTGCATTGCAGGCAGAAGCTTTACCATCTGAGCCACCAGGGAAGCACCATTTATTCAGTTGGCTTATTGAATTGGAAAGAACATTTCCTCATCTATTATTTCTCCAAGAGAGAATATGTTTAATTTTAATTTTTGATACACTGTCATTTCTGAAAATAAAATAGCTAAATATTGTACTGATGTTTTAGAAAATAATTGCAGAGGCCCAACTGAATATTTATTTATGATACTATATTCCACCACAGCCTCTAGAGTCCAAAACAGCATCCCATAATCAAACACTATTGTACCTTCAACTGTGCCTATGAGTATCTACTGTTAGAGGGTTAAAGAAAGACTTTAAATAGCCTTGTTTCATTTCAGGTTTGATTTTGCCACCAAAAGAGTTTGTGCCAAGCTTAAAAAAAACTCCCACTTTTAAAACTTTTTGGATTTTGGAATTGTAGCTAAGAGGTGGGAAACTGAGAATATTAGAACTGTAGTGCAAGTGGACTAGGAAAATAGCTCTGTATCTACATTAAGAGGTTAAATGCATAATTTTGGAAATAGGGCAAACTAATAACTATTTCTTTAAAGAGGATTTACCTGACAATGTAACACACACACAAACTTCAAATAAGCATTTTGCAAAATGTGAGGAAGAAATTAATGGAACCCAGGGGAAAAATAAAAGTTTAGATACAGAATAGATTTCCCTATGTGTAATTAGAACTTGTGAGTTCACCATCTTTGACACTAGGCTGTCTTATCTTCTCTTCTGTACATCTTCCAAAGATCATCTTGATTATCACTTAAGCATAAATGTTATGTAACCTTTATTCACAACCCATACCTTACCTCTGAATTCCAGACGCATATATGCAACTTCTTGGGTGCCTTCTTGGGTACCAACAAAACATCACAAACTCAGTGTGTTCAAAACTAAACTTATGGTTCTTTGTCACCCTCAAAAAACCCAGTCTTCTCTGTGAAGAGCATCACTACTATTCAGTCACTTAAGCCAGAACCTCAGATGTCGTTTCTTAATCCATTTCTAAACATCTCTTGACTCCATATACTTGTTTCCATGTGACTGACAACCCTTATCACATGACCCTAATTCAAGCAGCCCTTTTTTCTCTCCTAGATTCTCATATTTTGCCCCTCTAAAATTCATCCCATTTAACTGCTACTGCCATCTTTCTTGTGATAAAGAAAATAAGATATCTTTATATTGCATGAATTGATGAATTGGCCCTACTGATCTTCCCAGCCTTATATCACACTCTGCTCTAGTTATGTCATCTCCTTTCACTGCATTTTTCTCATCTTATTTCTTCCCACCAGGGTCTTCCCACATGCTTCTTTATCTCCATGGAATGTTTTGTTTTGTTTTGTTTTCTATACTCTTCCTCTCTTTCCTTCTGACTCAACCACCAGATCCAACCCTACCATTCCTTCTTTAGGGAAGTTGTCCCTAACTTTTGTCTAGATGATCTTTTTCTACAGGATCATAGTCATATGTGTCTTTCCTGCCCCTCACTTGTAATACTTGAAAATACAGATTAAAATCTGTCTCTTCCACCTGTTCATAAACTTCATGAGAAGCGGGACTATGTTTCAAGTTGCTCACCATTGTTTCTACACAACTGGCTCTCTATATAGGCATATACATATTTATTAAGTGAATGAATCAGTGAAATTAATAGCAGAAACTATCATTTGAATGATTTATTCCCATTTTTATCTAGGACCTTCTGCTTGATTTTGTGACACCTTTTACTTTCATAGGATTTATCACATTGTGTTATAATTATATTTTAATTATCTATCTCTTCTAGTAGACTGTGAACTCTGAATACTGGGTTATATCTATTTTGTTCATAATTACATCCCCAGAGCTTATCACAGTAGTGTAAAACCTGATGTGTAGTAGGCACTCAAATATTTGTAGAATTAATGAATGCTAAGCCTGTAAATGCAGTGTCATATATATTTTAAAGCATTATGGCTTAAGTTATCTGCATTTTTCATATTAACTTGTTTCAGTTATTGATGATATTGCCAGGTGACTTTAATGTGTGTGTGTGTGGCTTTTGTGTCATTTTGAAGTCAGTGGGAAGTGGTCAGTGTCTGATGTGATTCTTACTTGATACTTATTGCTCTTAATTTCTAAATACACATATTCTTAAAAAACAGATAAACCCAGTCACTTCTGGCATTTGTTCTAATTCTTTTAAAGATATATGCATGTGTGCCTGCCAAGTCACTTCAGTCGTTTCTAACTCATTGCAGCCCTATGGACTTAGCTCGCCAGTCCTCTCTGTCCGTTTGTATCCTCCAGGCAAGAATACTGAAGTGGGTTGCCATTCCCTCCTCCAGGGGATCTTCTGTTCTCAAGGATCGAACCTGAGTCTCTTATGTCTCTTGCATTGGCAGGAGGATTCTTTACCAGTAGTGCCAGCTGGGATACAAAATGTAATTTTCCTGAGATGCTAACATAAAGTAAATCAATGCAAGTATAGATGGAGCTAGAAGGAGTTGTTAGAGAAACTAATACTTTACCATAAAAATATGAGGGCTTGTGGAGTGCAAGCATTTTTTGCTGCTAGAATACTATTGAATTAGGAAAACTCTGCTTAATAATATTCATGCCTCTTTAAAGTCTCTTAAGTGTGGGCCTCTTCTAAAGACACACCATTGGAATTATCCAAATTCAAATGATTGGGAGTGAAGGAATATGTTACAATCACATTTTATATTATTATCCATTAAATAGCTTTGGATTATATAATGTTCAGCTGAAATATGCTGACAGCTATTCAGAAATCTAAGTAAAACTTTTGATGAACCCAGCCTACTTTGTTCAGTAGTTATATCTCAATCAGACAAGCTCGACTGTATAATTTTAGGTTTAGTCAAGATGAGATTTATGGGTATATCATACCCAAAGACTGCTGTGAAGAAAGTAAGATTTGAAGAAATGAGTTATTAATCTTTGCTACAGAATATTAACAAATGTCATGTGGCTTTTATGAGTAGGTATTTAGGAGGTAATAGATTCATAAGCTCCCCAAAATAGATTTCTTCTTATATACCTCTGCTACTGGGAACATAATTAATAGTTACCTATTACTCACTTATGAAATCCAAGCTTTTACTTCATTTATTAAATTCGACCTTAGTATAAAATTAGCAAAATTAAATAAGTACTGTCATGTTGTAGTGAATGAGATTGTCTGTCTTGCTTTCTTATGTGTATATATACATGCTTGTGTGTGTGTGTGTGTGGTGGTAGTACATATGTTTTTATTTACTATGACCAAATAGTAAATATGTATAAAATAAATATATTTCTTGCTGAGTTATGTTTCTGTTTCTGCTTTTGCAGATAATCTTGCCTGATTGTTTTTTTTTTTTTGGGAGTCAAATTAATGATGATAAAATGCCTTGTTATTGAGACAATTGCTTGTGTGATGTTTGCCACCACTTTTTAGTTTTGAATTTCAAAAGGCCAGTACCCAGAAGGTGTTTCATCTCCCAGGTTCTGTGCCCTCATTTAAGATAAGTGGTCTCCAGGTGGATGGTGATGCATGGGTCACAGACCTGCTTTCTGGAAAGGAGTGATTTTCCCTTGGGACTGGCTTTAACAAAGAGCACACTCTCATTAAATGTTTGCTGAGTGAATGTTGAAAGAATTAGCTGATGGCTTTTATAATTATCTTATGATTTCTCTATAAAAAGATAACTTTTAAAAGAGGCTATCATATATATTTGCATAAATATGAATTATGTTGAAAAGTTTTTATATGATTTGTACCAATAGTTAAGAATATATGATACAAGTAGACAATATCATAGAGAATCACAGGGTTGGTGAAGGCCTTCACAGTTTTTGTTTTTTTGTACAGCTACCCTTCTAAAGTTTCCTCCCACAAAATACCCTTCCTGTTGCTATCCACTAGATAGGATCTGGAATTCATCTGAGGACTAAGTCAAAAGGCTACATACAGTGTGGAACAGTGAAATGTAAATTGGGATAATTCATGTATTTAAAAGCATGATTTGAAAACCACTGTGTGAGAATAAGAATGCCTCCTCACGGGATCATAGAGAGCCCTTCTAGCCAGAACTGCTTGCCTGGCCCGTATTACTCCACAGTTCTACTACCTACCAGGAGATTTTAAATACAAACACAAATAGGGCCACATAACATTTTGTTAGTATTAATTTCTAACTTAATATTTGCTGACTTATGTAGGTGAAACCATCCAAGACTGATCTAAACTCTGGAATTTAAAAAAAACCTCAGGTACCAGATTTTCTTAATCATCTTCTGTTGTGTCAGAGAATATCTGACTTTTTGTCAGTAGTATTGGCCTGCTTGCTCATGGATTTCCATCATTCTCTCAATAATCAGAATTTTCCTGCATCTATTCTAGTCTAAAAATAGGAATAGAAATTAAAAAAAACATAAACACATAAACATTTTGCATTTGTGACTCTCCAGTGATTGTATTTTCTACAACCAGAATAATGTTTGTTTTTTTCTCTTCTTGACCACCTTCTTTAGCCTCTTATACTTGAAGGAATTGGTGTATTTCTAATTAAAAAAAAATACTTCAATTGACCCATTAAGTATATTCCCTTGGTTATCTTATTAGTGAATGTAAGCATATTTATAGCATATCAACACATGCATTTCTAGTTTTTAAAAAGATCTACATCTCTTTATTAGATTGTGAGAGTTTAACTACATTTGAAACACATTAAAAAAATAGGATTTTTTAAGCTGTTTCATTTTTGTAACTCCAAATAATGGAACTTCTAGAAAAAAAACATAATTTCTATCAAAAGCCTGCTGCTGCTGCTGCTGCTAAGTCGCTTCAGTGGTGTCCGACTCTATGAGACCCGATAGACGGCAGCCCGCCAGGCTCCCCCGTCCCTGGGATTCTCCAGGCAAGAACACTGGAGTGGGTTGCCATTTCCTTCTCCAATGCGTGAGAGTGAAAAGTGAAAGTGAAGTCTCTCAGTCATGTCTGACTCTTAGCAACCCCATGGACTGCAGCCCACCAGGCTCCTCCGTCCGTGAGATTTTCCTGGCAAGAGTACTGGAGTGGGGTGCCATTGCCTTCTCCGATCAAAAGCCTAGCTTGAGATAATTGATATTGGGTTATGATCTAACCAGCTGATCCTCTAGGTTAGTGTGCTTAAATATGAAGTCTGCTGTATAAATTGGTTTGGAAAACATTGTTCCACCTGTTCTAAGTGTGGTTTCTGGTATCTAAGAGTCAAGTCAGATCAGTATAAAGTTTTATGTTTGGGCTTTCACTTGAGCTGATTCATTTTATGCTTTGGGCTTTTGATCAAGAATAAATGTGGTGGATGTTATGGTGCTTGGCCAACATTATCCCCTTCATGATTGAATTACACTTGCTTCCATCTGATCCTGCTTCCCTCATTCTACTGTCAAACTGGTTTTGAGAGCAACCACCAATAAACCTCCCATAGTCAAGTTTCAGATTGTTCCTGGATGACTCAGTTTAAGATAATAAATAAATATATATATTTATGTATACATATATATATTTAAATCTGGGCATATAAAGTATTTCACTGCACGTATTACAAATCTGCTACTAGAATTTTATCATTTATGTCTTTTATGAAAAAAATCTAGTTTATAAATTCTTGGATATTTTTCTGAAAAATATTTGTCTTCCCTCAGAGATGGCATGATTTAATTACTTTTAAGAAATATACATTAGGTTGAATTATAACCATGGAAAATTCATAAAGAGATAGGAATACCAGACCACCTTATCTGCCTCCTGAGAAACCTGTATGCAGGTCACAAAGCCACAGTTAGAACCAGATATGGAACAATGGACTGGTTCAAAATTGGGAAAGGAGTATGTCAAAGCTGTATATTGTCACCCTGCTTATTTAGCTTATATGCTGAGTACATCATGTGAAATGCCCAGCTGGATGAAGCACAAGCTAGAATAAAGATTGCTGGGAGAAATATCAATAACCTCAGATATGCAGATTACACCACCCTTCAGGCAGAAAGCAAAAGGAACCAAGGAGCCTCTTGATGAAAGTAAAAGAGGAGAGTGAAAAAATTGGCTTAAAACTCAACATTCAAAAAACAAATATCATGGCATCTGGTCCCATCACTTCAGGGGAAATAGATGGGGAAACAATGGAAACAGTGACAAAATTTATTTTCTTGGGCTCCAAAATCACTTAGCAGGTGGTGACTGCAGCCATGAAATTAAAAGATGCTTGCTCCTTGGAAGAAAAGCTATGACAAAGCTAGACAACATATTAAAAAGCAGAGACATTACTTTGCCTAAAAAGTCTGTGTAGTCAAAACTATGGTTTTTCCAGTAGTCATGTATAGATGTGAGAACTGGACAATAAAAAAGGCTGATTACTTAAGAATTGATGCTTTTGAACTGTGGTGTTGGAAAAGACTCTTGAGAGTCCCTTGGACTGCAAGATCAAACCAGTCAATCCTAAAGGAAAACAATCCTGAATATTCATTGCAGAGACTGGTGCTTAAAACTGAAACTCCAGTACTTTGGCCACCTGAGGCAAAGAACTGACTCATTGGAAAAGTCCCTGATGCCTGAAAGATTGAAGGCAGGAGGAAAAGGGGATGACAGGGGACAAGATAGTTAAATGGCATCACCGACTCAATGGACATGAGTTTGATCAAGCTCTGAGAGATGGTGAAGGACAGGGAAGCCTGGTGTGCTGCAGCCTATGGGACTGCAAAGATTTGGGAACTACTGAACAACAATATGGAGCAGACATTTTGTAGATCAAAATGGTCAAATATCTGTGATTCCAGAAGTTTCTACCTAATATGTTTTAATAATTTTCCTTTTTCCTTTGTTGTCAGGATGCTCATGGGTAAATTTGGTACTCAGCTGCAATATTAATCTTCAGCCCATTACATCTAATGGTGTAAATACCTTTCACCACATTTACATGTGTGTGTGCTCAGTTGCTCAGTCATGTCCAACTCTTTGTGACCCTACCAGGCTCCTCTGGCCATAGAATTTTCCAGACAAGAATACTGGAGTGGGTTGCCTTTCCCTACTCCACACCATATGTACAGCTCATAGTATTTATAATGTTTTGGAAAATAGGGAGAATATAAGTAAATAAATCCTTTTAAATGAAATAAAACAGATTTCTTCACATAGACAAAGTCTTGAACTTAAGCTGATCATTATTTTTAGTTTGCAGTAACAGCATTCCAGAGAGATAAGGTTGAGACATAATTCAGAGTTCAAGAGATATGTTTTATTTATTATTTTTAATAGCAAAACTTCCTTACATCTGGGAGGTCTTACTTTCTTTCATAATCTAAAGAATCAATTCACAATCTGCAACTGGTCTGGCCTTATAAGTGAAGACTTTGAAACTCTGATATTGGTTTATCTCCCAGGTGGCTCAGTGGTAAAGAATCTGCCTGCCAAGTGGGAGACGTGGGTTCAATCTTGGGCCTGGAAGATTCCCCTGAAGAAGGAAATGGCAACCTACTTCAGTATTTTTGCCTGGGAAATCCCATGGACAGAGGAACCTGGAAGGCTACAGTCCATGGGGTCACAAAAGAGTCAGACTTAGCAAGTAAACAACAACAACGACAATACATTACTGAGGTTTTTGCTTTGTGTTCCAGTAATTTCAATCAGGAATCAATATCCTGTAGTGCTTAGGAAGGCAGACCCTGTATTCCCACTCCTTCCCTTGCTAGTGGAATGATGACAGCCATACCATTTAACCTCTCTAAGTCCTAGCGTCTTCATTTATATGGTGTAATGTAGATGCTATTGATATCTATCTCCTAAGATTGTAACAAGAAGTAAATGAAATAATATGTATAAAATGCTTAGCAGAGTGCTTGATACCTTTTCATATTTCTATATTTATCATTATCATTTTTGCTGTAGCTGATATTAATATTGCCCAAGTATATTTTAAATTTCTAGAGCCCTAGGGTCACAACTATGACTTCCCATGGACTCCTGATGTAACACCAAATGCAATAAGTACTCTAATGATGCTTTTAGCATCAATGAATGAACAGCGAAAAATAAATTAGTTAATGAAAGTTGTATATTCTGATTCAACATACTCTTCTTAGAAAAATATACAGTGTTCTTTAGCATTCATTTACATTGTATGAAAATCAATCAGATTTGTGAATCTGAAAATGCTATTTATAATGTATGTTTTGTAGATGTATGTGGATTAAGAAGGATTAATTTAAAACTGTAGAATAATCTAAATAGCTACTCTAAAAAATTACCACTGGCATTTTAATGAAATGTTATTTTACAACTTAAAGCTCATAGCAATATAATTAGTAATATGTGTAATCTTTATTACCAATCTTAATCTTTTTTATATGACTGAAAAATTATTTTATGGTAGCACAATTAAAATAATGCTAAAAATGTCAGCATAACAGAATTAAACTGAAGTAACTACTACAATATTGTAACCCAAACCAGCTAATTTAAATGCAAAATCCTTTGTAAAGGCTATTTATCTGAGCTAATGCATGTTAAGGGATTTAAGGAGTAGATTGTATAACTGAAATAAAAGGAAAAATAAGCACTGTACAGCAATCTTTACTGTTGTTTAACATGAGGGAAATATTAAATAGGGTTATATATAGGCCACTTGAGGAAAATGTATTAGAAGCCATACTGCAGCTTAGTAAATATAACGGGGACTGCTGGGCAATCTTATTTTCAGAGGCTTTTAAAGGGAAAGCTTAAAATACTTAAAGTTGTCCTTATACAAATAATGGTATATCATTAACTATGATAATTAGACTGAAGATGCCCAGAATGTTAAGTTTACGTTTTGAAAGAGGAATTTCAAATTACTGGATAGTTGCTTAGTTGGCACATGACACCAGTTAGATTTTTCTCTGATTGCTTTTCTGTCAACTCATAATGACTTTAATAAAGTATTGTTATTATAAACTGAGAATACAGAAGGGTTTAAAATTAAGATTTTTTAAATCTGAAAATGAACTCAGTGTCAAAACCTTGAAAATATAGAAAATTGAAAAAAAATCACCTAGGTTTACATCACCCATAAAGTATCAGACAATATTTAGTATATTTATTTCTAGTCTCTGTTCCTTCATGGATAATTTCTTAAACTTTTAATTTAAAAAATTATGATTATATTAAATGTAATATTTATATATAATACAAAGGAATCTAAGAGATATATATTATATAAAAATCCCTGATAATAATGAATTAGCTGTATATTCCTTTCATTATTTTAGTCATTCTTACCAGATCCTCAAGAAGTTTTGCTGCCTATATGTTTATTCCAGGTTTGGTACCAGTTGCATGTTACTTCAAGGGATATTCTTAAACAGTTGGTTAACATTTAAAATATTTTCAGTTCAGCTCAGTCACTCAGTCGTGTCCAACTCTTTGTGACCCAGTGGACTGCAGCACGTCAGGCCTCCCTGTCCATCACCAACTCCCAGAGTTGACTCAAACTCATGTCCATCAAGTCGGTGAGGCCATCCAATGATCTCATCCTCTGTCGTCCCCTTCTCCTCCCGCCTTCAATCTTTCCCAGCATCAGGGTCTTTTCCAATGAGTCAATTCTTCACATCAGGTGGCCAAAGTATTGGAGTTTCAGCTTCAGCATCAGTCCTTCCAATGTATAGTCAGGATTGATTTCCTTTAGGATGGACTGGTTGGATCTCCTTGCAGTCCAAGGGACTCTCAAGAGTCTTTACAACACCACAGTTCAAAAGCATCAATTCTTCGGTGTTCAGCCTTCTTTATAGTCCAACTCTCACATCCATACATAACTACTGGAAAAACCAAGGCTTTGACTAGATGAACCTTTGTTGGTAAAGTAATGTCTCTATTTTTTATATGCTGTTTAGGTTGGTCCCAGTTTTTCTTCCAAGGAAAAAATGTCTTTTAATATCATGGCTGCACCATGCAGAGATCCTGCACCAGATGGCTGCACCAGATGCTGCACCAGATGCTGCACCATCTGCAGAGATTTTGGAGCCCCCCAAAATAAAGTCTCTCACTGTTTACATTGTTACCCCATCTATTTTGCCATGAAGTGATGGGACTGGATGCCATGACCTTTGTTTTTGATTGTTGAGCTTTAAGCCAACTTTTTCACTCTCCTGTTTCATCTTCATCAAGAGGCTCTTTAGTTCTTCTTCGCTTTCTGCCATAAGGGCTATGTCATCTGTATATCTGAGGTTATTGATATTTCTCCTGGCAATATCGATTCCAGCTTGTGCTTCATCCAGCCCAGCATTTCTCATGATGTATGTACTTTGCATGTAAGTTAAATAAACAGAGTGACAATATGTAGCCTTGACATACTCCTTCCCAATTTGAAACCAGTCTGTTGTTCCATGTCCAGTTCTAACTGTTGCTTCTCGACCTGCATACAGATTTCTCAGGAGGCAGGTCAGGTGGCCTGGTTTTTCCATCTCTTTAGGAATTTTCCACAGTTGTGGTGATCCACACAGGCAAAGGTTTTGGCATAGTCAATGAAACAGAAGTAGATGTTTTTCTGGAACTCTCTCGCTTTTTTGATGATCCAACAGTTGTTGCCAATTTGATCTCTGGTTCCTCTGCCTTTTCTAAATCCAGCTTGAACATCTGGAAGTTCACGGTTCATGTATTGTTGAAGCCTGGCTTGGAGAATTTTGAGCATTACTTTGCTAGCATGTGAGATGAGTGCAACTGTGCAGTAGTTTGATCATTCTTTGGCATTGCCTTTCTTTGGGATTGGAATGAAAACTACCTTTTCCAGTCCTGTGGCCACTGCGGAGCTTTCCAGATTTGCTGGCATATTGAGTGCAGCATTTTCACAGCATCATCTTTTAGGATTAAAATAGCTCAACCTGAATTCCATCACCTCTCCTAGCTTTGTCTGTAGTGATGCTTCCTAAGGCCCACTTGACTTCACATTCCAGAATGTCTGATCACACCAGCATGATTATCTGGGTCATGAAGATCTTTTTTGTATAGTTCTTCTGTGTATTGTTGCCACCTCTTCTTAACATCTTCTGCTTCTGTTAGGTCCATACCATTTCTGTCCTTTATTGAGTCCATCTTTGCTTGAAATGTTCCCTTGGTATCTCTACTTTCTTGAAGAGATCTCTAGACTTTTCCATTCTATTGTTTTCCTGTATTTCTTTGCATTGATTGCTGAGAAAGGCTTTCTTATCTCTCCTTGCTATTCTTTGGAACTCTGCATTCAAATGAGTATATCTTTCCTTTTCTCCTTTGCCTTTCACTTCTCTTCTATTTCTCTTCTTTTCTATCTTTTCACTTCTCTTCACTTCACAGCTATTTGTAAGGCCTCCTCAGACAACCATTTTGCCTTTTTGCATTTCTTTTCCTTGGGGATCGTCTTGATCCCTGCCTCCTGTAGAGTGTCATGAACTTCCGTCCATAGTTCATCAGGCACTCTGCATATCAGATCTAATCCCTTGACTATTTACTAAAATATTTTAGTAAAGTTTAAATTATTCCTTAAAACTATAATCCATTAATATTTTATGTAAATTATGACAGATGTGTAGATCATAAATAAGAAAGAAACTGGACATTATAGTGATTATTACTGTCATAATTCAGTTGTCAAAAGTGGAACTCCTTTACCAGATGATGCTACACAGTGCATTTGTTTGTGTTCTATTTGGTAGGTCCCAGCACACTTGGAAAGTCCTGCAAGGACTCAGCTACAGAAGGTTCAGCAACAGCAAGTAAAACCCTTCATGACCCTTGACCACCAGATTCTCAACCAGACTTTTAAACGGTCACATCCTCCAACGCCAAGCAGTGAACTTCTGGTGCAGCATGGACACCCGTCTCCCAAGAGTGACCTTGGTCTCGCTGGAAATCCACTCACCAAGTTGCTAACTCTTGGCAAAGAAGATGACAATACAGAATGGCATGTATGTCTAATAACTGACTTATGAAAATATATAGTTTATTGAAAAAAAAACACTTCAGGAAATTGAAGTCAATATTTTTATAGTAAACATTCTATATGCAAATTTATTTAACAAAAAGATGTCTTAATTTATTAATTTTTATAATTAGTTATTTCCATAATAATTGTTTTGCATGAAATATAACAATTCATTTTAAAATTTTCATTTCAGTTTTGTATCAGTGTGAGTCAAAATATGTTCTATCAGTAATTTAGGTTAAGAATATTTAGCTTTAATTGTACTGGTTTTCTGATAGTTTTAGTTAAAACATTTATCAACAGTTACATTCTCTGAAGTGCCCATTAAGATGAAACAAGTGGAATTTAAATAATAGTAAAAATTTACTCTAGAAATGTTTATCAGAATGAGACTAATAGTCTTCTTGCATTTAATATTTTATAGTATTATATCTGAATTTTTAATTATTGATTATTCATTCCTTTCTATTTTCAACAAATACTTGCTTTCCATTTACTAAGTAAGAGAAAACTTGAGGTACTGAAGATATAAGTGTCTAGCTTTGTGGAGTTCATAATTATTGTGACTTGTTTGTAAATGGACCTTAAAAAAATCCTAAAAAATCAGTAGAAGTGGGAAAGAACTAGAATTGGGAAAAATACTTCCTTTAATATTTCAATGTAGAAAACCTACATCAATAACTGAGTTTTCTATTCTCTTTCTTTTTTTCCATTTGATTAGTTAGATGAAGCCATGATCCTATTTGCTCCTAGATTTAATCTCCCAATCTACATTCCTGGTGATTTTTACTGATTTTTACTGAATTCAGGTCACTGCTTTTAAGGGAAGTCTATAGTCTCCAGGTGCAAAAGAATAATACTCAGTATCTCAGTATTTAAATTCCAAATGATAGAGGAAAATTTTCTTTTGCAAATTTTATGTTAATCTAGAAAAGCGAAAAGAGGAAGATCTAGTAGATTGTTTAATAAAATATAAAGCACTCACAAAACAGGACTAGTTAAAATCCAAAACTGAATATAAATCTCTACATGTATATTTACTTAAACTTTTCAGTAACAAATATATAAAGAATTTTCCAAAAAAACATGTAGAACTAGATTCTCTGTTCACTCTATGAAGATCATAAAAATATATATAAGATGGGAATCATCTGTTCATCTGTACAGTAAATATTAGAACTCACCCAATACAATTTGTCTTATAACCACCTTCTTTCAAAGTTTTCTCTTTTGTGGAAGGTTGATTTACAAAGGAAAAAACAAATGCCAAAAGATATGCATATGTCTGTTGATTCTAGGCAAAACCCAGAAAATGATCACAGTATGTATCTTATGAAATATGATGCTGTGATCGTATAGTGGTTAGTACTCTCTGTTGTGAAATATGTTTTCTAAAAAATGAGAAAGGATGAGTAATATATGTTAATTTTCTTAGTAAGCAGTTTTATTTCTTAGGAACACAGCTTTCATTTTATAATAAGCTTGTACATTATAAGAGAAGTTTACCTGATCTTAGTGGTCCCTTATGTGGTGTCAGTCAAAACTAGTTGCATGGCTGGGAAGGGTTGAAAGCTTCAATATGTGCAATGGTCTAGGGACAGCATGCAGGCTGGCTGCAGATAAACATTTTCTAAATTTTTAACCGTTTTTCTTTAACTGTGTATTAAAAGGCTCTTCTGTCATTAATGTTCAGTTAATCGTAGTTTTATTTCATCTGTTATAGTTTTAATGTGTGAGTTTTAAATTTAATTTATCATGGACACGTTTTCACATACTGCCATCAATTCTAGTTTTGCTGTCTTTAGTAGCTACGACACATGCTACTTTTTTGCCATTCGCTGATATTCTTGGATTAGTTCTAGGGGTCCTTGTCACAAAGCAGAAAGTGTGCAGTCTTCACAGTCAGACGGCGTGAGGTTGAAACCACTGCTTACTAGTTGTGGGGTCTCAGGCTTTAACCTCTCTTACTGACATTTCTGTAGCTTGAAGAGTTCTTTTGATACTCACATTTTCTGGGTGGGTTGTAGGAAACTCCTGTGATCTTTCATTTTTATGATTACTTTAAATTGTTTTTTATTGAGGAGTAATTGACATAGTAACTGTATACATCTGAGGCATATAGAATGATGATTTAATTTGCATATATTGTGAAATGATTACCACAATAGATTCAGTTAACATCCATCTTGTCATGTGGACACAATAAAGGAAAAAGAGGATTGAAAACTTTCCTGTATATCATATAACATTGTTAAATATAGTTGTTGCATTGTAGTATGTTATATCCCTAGTAGTTATTTATCTTATAATTTTAGTTTGTATCTTGTGACCACCTTTCTCCAATTCCATACCACATTCCCCCACCCCACTTCTGGTAGCCACAAGCATGATCTCTTTTTCTATGAGGTTTTTTTGTTTTTTGTTTTATAATCCATATATAAGTGAGATCACACACTATTTGTCTTCCTCTGTCTGACTTATTTCACTTGGCATAATGCCCTCAAGGCCTATTCTTATTGTTGCTAATGATAGGATTTCCTTGTTTTTTCATGCCTAAATAGAATTCTTATTTATATATTTAGTTTCTTTAGCCATTCACTGATGGGTGGACACAGGTTGCTTTCATATCTTGGCTTTGTAAATACTATGAACATGGGGCCGCAGATATCTTTTCAAAGTATTGTTTTTATTAGCTTTGGGTATATTCCCAGGAGTGGAATTTTGGTATCATATGGTAGTTCTATTTTTAATTTTTTTGAGGATCCTGAATACTGTTTTCTATAGTAGCTGTATCAATTTACAGTCTCACCAATATCATAAAAGGGTAACCTTTTTTCCACATCCTTGTCAGTATTATTATTTTATCTTTTTGTGATTGCAATTCTCATAGGTATAAGGTGATATCTTATTGTGGTTTGAATTTGCATTCCCCTAATAACTAATGACATTAAGCATCTTTTCATGTACCTGTTGGCCTTTTGTTTATTTTCTTTGGAGAAATGTGTATTCAGGTCCTTCTTTCATTTTTTTAATTGCATTTTTATTGTTGTTGTAGGAGCTTTTCTACAGGTCTTGGTTATTAACTCCTTATCAGATGTATGGTTTGCAAACATTTTTTTCCCCTTTTCCATAGATTGATCACTGGCGAATTATGCTTTTAATATGTGCTGAGTTTAGTTTGCTAGTATCTTATTGAGAACTTTTGCATCTATATTCATCAGGGATATTGGCCTGTAGTTTTCTTTTTTAGTAATCTCATTTTCTGATTTTAGTATCAGGACAATGCTGGCCTCATTAAATCAGTTTGAAAGTGTTCCCTCCTCTTTGATTTTTTGGGAAGACTTTGAGAAGGACTGGTGTTAATTCTTCTTGAAATGTTTAGTAAAATTCACCAGTAAAGCCATCTGGTCCTGGGTTTTTCTCATTGGGGGATTTTTTTTTATTACTAATTTAATTCATTCTCCACTAGTACTTGGTATATTCAGATTTTCTACTTCTTCCTGATTCAGTCTTAAGTTTTATGCGTCTAAGAATTTTTCCATTTCTTCTAGGTTTCACAGTTTTTTGAAAAATATAGTTGTTCTGTGTTGCCCTTTATGATCCTTTGAATTTGTTCAAATCTACCATTTCCTTATTGATTCTCTTTGTGGATAATCTATCCATTGTTGAGAGTGGTAAAAAGTCTTCAAATATTATTGTTTATAATTACTATTTATTTTTCTCATTAGCTCTGTTAGTTGTTGCTTTATATATTTGTATGTTCTGATGTTGGACTCATAAATTGTTATATCAGTTTGATGTATTGACCCCTTTATCTTTATATAATGACTTTCCTTGTCCCTCTCTCTTTTTCTTTTTTTGGCCATTTTTAGTTTTGTCTGTTTTGTCTGATGTAATCAATGTAAACTATTCCTGCTTTCTTTTAGTTACCATTGTTTGAAATGTATTTTTCCATCCCTTCACTCTCAATCTCTGTCCTTACAGTGAAAGTAAGTCTCCTAGAGACAGTGGTTGTTGAATCTTGTTTTTAAAATCCACTTATTCACACTATGTCTTTGAACTGGATAATTTAATCTGTTTATATTTAAAACAATTACTGATAGGTAAGGGCTTGAGTGTGCTTGTGCTCAGTCATGTCTGACTCTTTGCAACCTCCTAGACTGTAGCCCACCAGGTTCCTCTGTCCATGGAGTTTTCCAGGCAAGAATACTGGAGTGAAGTGCAGTTTTCTACTCCGAGGGATCGTTCTGACCCAGGGATCAAACCTGTGTCTCTTGCATCTACTGCCTTGGCAGGCATATGTTTTATCACTGCATCACCTAGGAAGCTGTAAGAGCTTCCTACAACAAAATGTTAGTTGCTTTCTGGTTGTTTGGTAGCTTCAACAATTTCTGTTTCTTATCCCACTATCTTTTTGTTCTGTTTTGTTTTGCCTTTTGGAATCAACATGCTTTGACTTCTTTATCAAGTTCTTTTGTGTAATTAGTGTAAGATTTTCCCTGTGTGTTCCAGGGCTCAGTTGCTTCAGTCTCTTCCAACAATCAACTGTAGTGCACCAGGTGTGGGATTCTTCAGGCAAGATGCTGGAGTGTGTTGCCAAATGCTTCTCCAGGGGATCTTCCCAGTTCACAGATTGAACCCCTGTCCCTTATGTCTTCTGCACTGGCAGATGGGTTCTTTACCTCTAGCACCACCTGCAGTGTTTTCCATGAGACTTACACAAAATTTGTTCATTGTCCAGTCTCTCAGGTGTGTCTGACTCTTTGCATCCCCAAGGACTGCAGCACACCAGGCTTCCCTGTCCTTTACCATCTCCCATAGTTTGGTCAAACTCATTTCCATTGAGTCATCCAACCATCTTGTCCTCTGTCATCCCCTTCTCCTCCTGTCTCCAATCTTTCCCAGCATCAGGGTCTTTTCTAATGAGTCAGCTCTTCCCATCAGGTAGCCAAAGTATTGGAGCTTCAGTTTCAGCACGAGTCT